TTATTATTATTATTATTATTATTATTTAGCACACATAATCGATACACCATCTCCGTTCTTTTCATATATTTTCTATATTGGCCTTAGTATTAAACGGTCTTTCAAAATTATATCCCACTCCCCTCTAAGTACACCTAGTCACTCACGGACAGTGTGACTAACATAATAAATAATAATAAATTCATAGAATTATTACAATTCCATTTACTTAACTGTCTAGCCAATTCGCGCTCAAGCATTATTAAAAACGATCTTCTCGTTTTTCCATTGCAACAGTTGGTATTAATAAGTTTTTAAATGCATTCGTAGTGGTAATATTAGCCTAGAATGGTAATTAGCCTAGAATGGTATTAATTACCCATGTTTCAACGAGTTCTTGTCTATGCTTTTCAACATCGCAAATACAACTCGTAAGTCTTCTCGAAATATCCTCGTACCCTGGAAGATCGTCGAGTAATTGTTGTCCAAGCTTTTGCAAGCTTTTGAGACGAAGTTCCGACACCTTGGCAGTTTGAACGGCTTGTAAAATTTCAGGCGTATCCAATAGTTCCTTCGTGTCGCACTCATTTTGAGCTGCATCTTTAATTAGGAAAGATTAAATTCATTTTTTATTATTGCAAAATCAAAGACAAATAAAGAAACGCACACGCAAAAAATTGTACAGAAGCGTGTAATTTTTAGCAAAGCTATTCATTTGAAATTGATTATGAATTTGAATAAAACGAGGAGTAAAGACTACTGATTAATACTCAACCGATAAGATCGGAATAGGCGGACAATAGAGATTGTCGCTCGGCTCGAAGAAGATTCTTTATCATCTCTCTCCTCACGAGATCGCTATATCGACGAAACTCGGTCTCTACGGCAAGTAATGTCTTTGCTCCAGTGATACGAGTCTTCAGCTTCGTAGCGACGCGTTCCTCGATAGGTGCGAGGCTGCTCTGCACCTTATCTTTTAATCGACTCCACTTTACGTCGTTTTCCTCCCCGAGCAATTCTACAAAACAGACGATACTATCAAATTTAAATTAATATTCCATTGCCACGTATAAGACTTCTGAATCTTATCTCACCGTCGACATTATCGAATATTTTGAATAATGCATCGATCTCGAGATGCGTCCTCTCACTTTGAGTCAACAGCTTCGTCAATTGACGATTTTGCCCGCGAATTTCAGCTATTTCTCTACAAGCAAATTTTCATCAACGACATCCTTTAATCGACCTAAATAATTAAACATTACATAAGGCTTTAGTAATTTACTTTAATCTGATTCCAAAATTTGTGCATTTTTCCGGTCTGTATGGCTTTCCCCTCCACGGATGGTCGATTATATGAGGCCAAAATAAGTCCGTCATACGTACGGACATGGCAACCCATTTTTCACAAACAATAGCTCCAAGAGCCACAGCCTCGTCTTTTACTCGTCCATCCGATTGAATCTAACAGGGATATTAAATATTAGTAAGAAAATCCTTGTGCCTTTCTTCATACGATTGATGACGTTGCTTCGTGCAATTTACCCATCCTACACACGTACTTTACTCAATAACGATTGAACGAGCTGTGCAACTTCGTCTCCGATAATTTCCAGCAACGACTGCATGCGCAATTCGGTATAAACAGGCCCCTTAAGTCTCCATAGCTCATCCAAATATCCAGAGACCGCGTCGAACGTTTCCTCCACCAATGTCAAGCCCTCCCTAATTTTTTCTCACAAATTCACGATCATTAATTGTATAATTTATATAGTTACGAGCGACGATATTAAGCTCAATATGACCAATAGTATTTTCAATAGTATTTTTTTTTTCCTATATATATATATATATATATATATATATATATATATATATATATTTGCACGGATACATCTATATTCCGGATAAATGCGTGATAATCCAAGTTATTCAAAATTATAATTAATTTTTGGATTTATAATGCCTGATATATTAGCAATGACGTAGATCGGCAGTTGCAGTTATAGCTACACGTAAGATATAATACAAACCGAAAAATCAATATTCACACGATTAATAAATACACAATGCATTATAAAAATGCAGCAAGAGTTAAAAAAAAAAGGAAAAAAAGAAAAAATTAATCGAATAAGAAAGTTAAAAATTGCTCGATAATTTACTTCAATTAAGACTACAAGTACTGAAATATTTGAATTAGCCAAGCAAATTGCTAAAAATATATAAAAAATGAAATGACGTTTAAATCACTGTAAGTAAAATTTATGATAGCGGGGGTAAAGCTAGAAAGTCATGAAAGTAGAGCTGCTGAATTCCAGTGTTTCGCAATAATAAATTCAATAAAGTCCAGAGTGGAGTGAATTTTACTACACGTTGCTTCGCTAAATATGGTTTAATGGCCAGCTTAAAGGAGGGAAGGGTAGGGGGAGAAGGGATGCGCACCTCGTCACAGCCGCGCTCTCCATGTCACGACGAATGCTCGTGAGGTAAAAGACCGCCTGCTCGTAAAGTCTGCTCTCCGCGGGCGTCCTCGCGCCCCGGGCCTTTTCCCGCATGAATGTCTCCTCCTCGACGAGGGAGGATATAGCCTTGGGCCCGAGGAGCTCGATCTCGAGCTTCTTCAGGAAGAGCGAGTCGACGCCGGCCGTCCTCAGGGCTGGAGTCCATACCTGCCGAAGTTCCTCGGCGAGTGCCGTAGCGCTGTTTTTACTCACGGACGTCATCTGCACGACGTCATGGAAGTTCGTCTCCGTCACCAGCGAGTCCGAGATCTGCGCGTGCACGTTAACGATTTAGCGGCCCCCTTGCTTTTACTCTCCCTTTTATGGGGCATTAGAGTGACCGCGGTTGGTCTTCCGTGCCCCTCCTCGGACGTGAAAATTTTAAATTAGAACGCGCTCCGTCGAATTTCCTGTTTTCTTAAGGATGTCGAGGGCATTGGGCTTTCAAAGGAAAGTCATGTGCTCAAGCTCTCGCGGCCTTACAAAAAAAGATTTTCAGTTGGTTCGCCCTATTTAACTCGATCGCACTTAAAATATTGTTTTAAACAGAGTAATCCAGTAATGCTTTCTTTCGATTGTTCTTTTATAGAAATTAATTTATATTCGTATCGCACGTTGCTGTTTAAGAAAATAATGCCCATGCGTTTTATATAACCTAGAGGCATCTCAGCCACGGCTTATTAATTATTATTTATTATCTTTTTACTCAAATGTCTTCCACACGAAATAAATTATTTAGGCTACGATCTCAGGCATTAAATATCATTGTACAGTAGAATATTAGAATATTGTAGAGAGAGAGAGAGAGAGAGAGAGAGAGAGAGAGAGAGAGAGAGAGAAAACAAAAAACAAAACAGAAAAAATAACACTTCATACATAAAACAGTACGCCGACCGCTTTAAAAAAAATACAATTGAAACTTAACACTTATTAAAATTCTGTTGCAATTTAAGATTGAATTAACAAACGTTATAATAATGTTATATTATTACTGAACGTATGTGCATAAATTATAAGTAGGATTTCATTATAAATAAAGTAACGTACTTGCTTATTATTTTAATTATCTCTCAATAATACAAACACACTGATGGTCTAGGCTTATGTAGCTCAAGGTTACAAGAAAAAATCTCAATCGACAAATTCAAATTTATTTATGAATAGAAAAATCGCTACATTGACATGACAATTCGTCCGATACGATAATTTAAGAATTTAATCTAAGAATTTGTATAGATTTCTGACAAAAAAAAAAAAAAAAAAAAAAAATAATAATGAATTTAATAAGTATAAATAGACTTTATTTCAGTGAATACTTCTTGAGAGCTCTTGAATTCTCTATTTGTTTAAAAAAGTATAATCAGAGCTACTTAATCTATCTAGTCTAATGTAAAACATAAATGTGATGTAAGAAATGACGGATGCAGCGCCGCAATCAACACATCATGATGAATGGAACAAATTCCAAAATAAAAAAGTCTCTAACTAATTTCTAGTACCGCAATAATAATCAACAGTTATGTTTGAAACGATAACAAATATTGTATGTACGAGATAAATAAGGAAAGATTTTTGTAATGGATATTAATTTTAAATATTTAATAATACATAATAGAAGAATACAAATAGAGAAGAAAAAAAGTTGAAAAGAAATAAGTGAATAGTGGTTTTTATGTTAATAATTTATCGATATGTTTTAATTTAAATATTATCTGTAAAGTATCTCGATTAGCATCCAGATATACACACATACATACGTACAGATGGAAAAGCGCGCTTAATGCAATGTTATTTAATTTGTAATATACGGATAAAATAAAATGGTCATTCTCTCCTTATTTTATTACGTTACGTCTCATTTTATGCTCTGACCAATATTCAATGCAACTAGTCCTCGTCGAAGGCGCCAAATTTCTATCCAATCATTAATGCAAATTTATACGAATTCATATGCAATGGAAATGATAATATCTACGTCATATATTATGCGCTATTGGTTAAAGTAACATTAGGAATAGCGTGAATCTCCTTAATGATTATAAATAATACTAATTGCTATCAGCGTTAGAATTAAGCGGACATAATCAAAGCAAATTTACGCAAGATCTCGTTCAAGGCAAAACTTTAAAATCACGTGACTTTTTTATGCTGAATATTTATTGTTAAAGTACATGAAAGTACTCGTGGAGTGAGTGTTTTTTTTTTTTTTTTCTTTTCTTTTTTTACCTTCGATAAGGCAAATGATTGAATAATTCTGAGCAGTTGGATGATCGATGTCAGTAGCTTGCCGATCGAGTACTCACCTTGAAAAATACCAAAGTATTGTTGCCGACGGATAGCTCGTTGGTTAAGCTGACGCGTGATTCCGAATTCGAAAATAAAAAAGCAGCGTAAAGCGTTCGACACTTTGCTCGATCCAGAAAGTTATCAAGCAGCGACACCTCATTGCTATCCAAATCCTCATCGTGAGGGACGCCAAAGAAATGGTGAGCCGTTGTAAGGATGAAGCTTCGCCTCCTATCAATAACGACCATTTTCACGAAATTAGCAGTGCCAGAGTCATTGAGAAGAGGAACCGTATGAGTAAATAATCATCTCACATTATGCACATCCGTGTACTCGACTCGATAAACTTGGGAGGAGCGAGCGAAATGACGCAACAACGATCGTCCAACAATGCCACGATTCGAGTACTCCCCGTGTATCCATGACGACACTCGAGTCGCCAACGACAAAACACTGTCCGGCGGGGGGTGTAAATGTGATGCGACTTTGAGCTTTGAGCTAACAATTGATTGCTGGTAACGTACCTGTATTGTTTTAGCTTTGTAAAGGCCGAATTCTCTCACAGTGGCCGTAATTACTGGGACCGTGTCCTCGTGCTGATGCATTTCGCCCATTTAACTTGACAATGCACTTTGTCAGTGCGTTTCTATTGTGATTAAATCGAAAAATCTCGCTCATTTAAGTGGGACGATGAGATTATAAGCCAAGAATATACTTTTCAATTCTATAAAAAATTTCAATGTAAGTTGTCAAGTTTAAATGCCAATTGGCAATTAGATAATCGAATATTGGACCGTTATGCTTACTACTCTGACAATTATTTCGCGCTTACTAAACGAACAAATCAACTCTACATTTTACGAACAATCTACAGTTTCAATTACAAGTACAATTAATTATTGTCATTTGAAAATGTTTGAAAATTCAGATAATTAAGGAGCTTGGATAATACATATCTCGATTACCTATTTCAATCTCATGGTATTAGAGTCTCAATGTGTACGTAACGAACAATGTACAACAAAAACTTTCGTTATTATAGATAATCGAGTGCGCTGGAATCTCAAGCTTTGCGGGATGTGAAAACTAAATTATTTCGTTGTTATTGTAAGTGTAATTATTAATAGATGGGGATCGGCCCCAAATATCAACTATTCCAGACAGTTTAAGGCATTTATAATAACAAATGTAAATTTAGACGAGGGGATGTTTCGTGAAAATTCGATACTTTTCCAAAGTTCAAAGAGAATTTGCTCTCACGAACGAATACGTCCATTATGAATGAAAATTTCTCTTTCTCAGCAATTAAACATATACATCTATCGTGGCTGCCATATGTTCTAGCATCGTGCTACGAATTATTTATTAATCGTGCGCTCCTGTGAATTCAATTGAATTGATTTCATCATGAATGCTTAGGATTATCATTACATTTATTAATCCGTCAACATTGTCTATCGATATGCCAATTGTTTCTTTTAAATTGCATTCCTTAACTGGTGATACGCGTATTAAAACATAAGTTGCCGCTGACAAAAGCCTATTTACTAAATCATCGATGTAAATATTGGATAAAAGCGGTAGTGGTTGGATGATATCTCGCTTATGTTGTCGACCATGAATAAATATGATGAAAAATTTCATTGCAATTGCTTGTAGGTGCAGGCACGCGAAAGATTCGCACACACTGTCAATGAATAGCATAACATAACTAGTTGAATAACAATATATCAATGAGGTAGCTGCTCGGGGATTTATAATTAAGCGAGTATTTATTGATCGTCGGATTTATTGACTAGACTTATTTGGAGCATATTTGGAATCTTCAAACTAAACGATTAAATTTATCAAATCGATATTGTCGAGATAATAGTTATAATAGAGATAATCGATAAACGAGATTAGGCGGATTAACTAACTAAATGCCTGTGCATAGAGCCGCGCGTTTTTTTTTTCTTTTTTTTTTTTTTTTTGGTTCTTTTTTTGTTGTTTTTGCTTATTCGTTTTTTCTCATCATTATCATTCGTTATTCGGCATTTGCGTTCAATCTTCGCTTATCTTATCGAATGCTCGTAGGCAATTGTTAATTTTTGGCGTTAAACAGAAACGTGTCTTTAACAAAGGATAATCGCCAACGCGAGGGGTTATGTAGAAAAGAATTTGTGACGGCTTGTTAATGACATGTGTATTTTTTGGATTGCCCGAGTGTTGAGCGCCAAAGGCAAAATAAAGATAAAGCTTTGGAGTCCAAGATTGCAAATCGAAATAATGCGTTTAACAATGCGCGCGGACTTCCGCTTCACTCTGCCCAAGTCGTCTGCGTTTGAACAAGAATATTACGAGGCACTATTAGATACGCAACTCAATTTTCTCGCCAGCTATTGCCAGGAAAAGCCAAACAAAAGACAAACAAAATACACGCAGAGAGAGAGAGAGGGAGAGGGAGAGGGAGAGAGAGAGAGAGA